AATTTTGTTAGTCTACTCTTATCCATAAGACCCTGAAATCTTGGTGGCAAGGAATTTATCTTAATAGTTAAGCATGGGATGAATGGAGGGATGCATGGATGATCAGATAGATGATGTGATCAGCCAAGCTTGACAAACAAAACCAAAGATAGCAGATCAGGTTGTGGGTAGAAAATGGCTGAATAGTAATGATGTTGCTATACAATCACAGCTTCTGAACCAAGGAAATAACAGTATAGGAGTTCTCAAATCTTGTTAGGCATAAGTGAGGACTTTTTATAAAAACACTGATATCTGAGTTTTAGTCTCTAGTGCAGTGATTCTCAAGAGTTTCCTATACCAGCAATGTCGGCATCATCTGAGGATGTGTTAGAAATGCAAATACCTGAGCCCCACTACAGACTTACTAAATCAGAAAGTTCGTACCAGAAAACTGGCTTTATGAAGCCCTCCAAAGGATTCTGATGCATGATGATGTTTAAGACAATTGTTAGATTCCAGATTCAGCTGATCTAGAGTGTAACCTAGGTGTTCATCATTTCTCTGGATCTCTTCAGATAAGTCTATTATGCAGCCACAGTTGTGAACAATGAGAATAGTAGAAGAGACTAAAAAGAAATATATGTAAATATAGTAAAATTTACTAGGAACAAAACCAGAGGAAATAAAGATTGTAAATATTAACATAGATAATTTTTTGTTTGTTTTTTCTCCTTACAAGAGGGGCACAGTAGCAAGTGAAATGTTTTCTAGAGCCTACAATTAGAAATGATTTCATCACAAAGTTTCATGACAATACTGGATGCCATTATTATTCAATTTTATGAAATAGTCAAATCAGAGAACTATTTTCTTCAAGAATAATCATTGAGAAGTGCATTGGAAAACCTGTGCATTAAGCTCATTCTTACTAAATCTTGAAACAAATTCTTTGAGGGGCAAGCAATATTACACCAGCTTTTTTTTTTTCCCCCCCAGACATGTAAACTGTAACTCAGATAGTTTAATTAATTAACTTGCTCAGAGTTGTACAACAAGGGAGTAACACAATAGGGATTAGAACTCAGGTCTCTTTCACCATACTGCCTTGTTTCTCACTTGAGAGACAACTGGGATATTCACATCATTAAGTATGAATCAAGAAAGAATCATCTTAATACTCTAATTAAAGCTGTACATATTTATAATTAAGTTCAACTATTTTTTTTTTTACTTATGCTGAGACATGAGGAAAACACATTTTTCACATTTTAATGCCTCTTTCTGCCAGAGAACTTTACACACATTAATATATTTATATTTTAAAAATCCTGAATGACAATTTTTCTAACAATTATTTATAAATGAGGGAATTTGGACTGAATTTGGAATTTGGTGGTAAAAGTCGTAACTATGGCATGTAGCTAGGCAGCACTGGATGTGAAATTCAAACCCGTCTTGGTTGTATCATAAAGGAATTTGCCCACATTCATTCCCATTACAATGACACTTTCCTCCCTTAAACATTAATGAAGAGAAAAACTATGAGTGAATGATTCTGGAATTGTTGTTAAACTGAAAGCTATGATAAAAAGTAGCCTGGACAAAGGTAAGTTTGGGGTGAGGATAGTATGAAATTGTGGAGAAATATGAATGACAACCTATTGGCAGAGATTTAACAATTTTTTAATGGCTGAACTTTCAATAAAGAAAGGGAATCTAAACAATTTTAATGCAAAATGAAAGTGTAAAATTAAATAAATTGTCAGGGCCTCCCCCATGGCGCAGCAGTTGAGCTCTGGGTTGCGAAGCTGCCCACAGCCTCTGCAGCGCCGGTTCGATCACCAGCCACCTGGTGAGGGTCCCACATGGTGCACAGACCTCTCCTGCCGCTGCTCCCCTCAGCAGTGTACTTGTCAGTCTGCCTGCTCTGACTCTGCTCTCTGCTCTGACTCTGTTGAATCCTCTCGCCCTCCCGTGCTTCTGACTGTACCCAGTGCTTGTATAAATAAATAACTCTTTAAACAAATAACTCTTTAAATAAATAAATAAATAAATTGCCATTGAGACTGAGAAAAGAATAAATATTAAGATCTAGAAAGTCAAGGATGAACTATTGAAAGAAGTGGTCACATCATAAAAAATTTAAAAAAAAAAAATTCCAAAAGGAAGGTACACCATATACAGGGAAGAGCTTGTACATGTTGCATAGAGGCAAAGTTAAGAAAATGATGGTTTGTTCTGAGAAGCAAGTTCAAGTTATAGTTAGAAATGCCAATGAGGGTCATGTTGAGAGGATCAGTAATAAATATGAAAAGGGAGATTAGATGTAGATATTTTAAGTTATAGAATACTGTCTGGAATTTGTCCTGTATTACTAAGTGCTATTGTGCAGAGGTGTGATTTGAAGGTAGAGTGGGGTAGTGTTGACCTGGTGGTAGTACTCTCCTGAACACTGTTGTGGCAGAGGTAATGATGCTAACACAGGATGATTGTGTGTATCCCACAAAAGGGATATTGATGCTCTGAAAATAGTATATTTTTTTGTTTTGTTATGTTGTGTTTTCTTTTCATGTACATATAGAAGAATGAGAAGAATGCCAAAGATACAATCTTGAGAAGCATGCTAGAGATGGGTAAAGGAAGAAAGTCACCTTTCTTTATGAGTGTTGAGATGAACCAGAAAATCAATATCAATTGGATAAATGCCATTTAATTTTCTCATATGTAATCTTCAGTTAAAACAATTACGTTTTTTACCAACTTCGATACCGCCTACATTTTTACTTAATTTTTCTTTATACTATCTCTATTCTTTTATATTTTAAATGAACTTTATTTAACTTATAGGGATGTTCACATTTTGTAATTCACATAATACCAGATATGTAACCAGGTTGTCACAAGGATGGCAGTGATTGAAGGGAAAACCCCTAATCACTGGGGACACTAGAGCATTGTCCCATAAAAGTGAAATACCCACACTTAACTATGTCCTTTGGTTTCCTGCACAGGCTTCAAGGATCTAATTCTCTTCTTAAAATAACTTAAAAATCACCCATTGTATCACTTAGAACAGAACAAAACCTTAAATTGATAAAACACCTGAACAGAAGAAAAGTAGTACCAGGCTTTAAAAGGAGAATGATATCACTGTCCAAGCACTGTTTTAGTTAAAGTAGATTCAATTTTAAGAGTTTCATATTCTCAAGAGACATTTAACCTGAGTTTACAGTCTTGGATTAAGTAGCTTTTAAAATCTTATGATTTCCTATTTATCCATCACTATCAATACAGTTGATCTATTCCTCCTGGTTATTTTAAATAAAAGGTCTGTTTTTAAGTTAAAAAAATTAAAATTTGGGTCATCAGTTTTGGTATTAGTGTTCTTTTTGTAATTATTAGCGTGACAATGATATTTTCTTTTCCCAGTCAACAGGATTAGAAGATACACGAAACTCAGATAGCAGTTTGCTCTCCACAATATGTGTTAGTAACTATTGATTAGCATTGGCTGAAGTTGAAGGCCTTGTACTTGACACAAAAACAAACAACAATAACAACAACAATGAAAAAACTCACTGAGTGGAGAGTGTTCTAGGGGATGGATGAAATTCCTCAAATTATGCAAATTATTGGCACAATAGATATGCTTTTGGGCCTCCCTGGTGGTGCAAGGGGTTGAGCGCAGCACTGTGAAGCTGTCCGCAGCCTCTGCAGTGCAAGTTCGATCCCTGGCCAGGGAGCTACCCACATGGCGCAGTAGACCTCTCCTGAATCACTCGCTGCTCCCCTCAACAGTGTACTTTGGTCTATCTGCTTCTTCTGTTCCCTGCTCTGTCTCTGGTGGATCCTCTCACCTCCCACACCTCTGGCATGTACCCCAGTTCTTGTAATCATAAACAAATCTTAAAAAAAAAAAAAAAAACTATTGACATGATTTTTCTGAAAATATTGTATAGAGTGTTCATCAATAGTGTAAACTTGGACCTCTCCGGTGGTGCAGTGGGTTAAGTGCAGTGCTGAGAAGCTATCCGCAGCCTCTGCAGTGCAGGTTCCATCACGGCCTGCCAGCTAAGGTCCCGCATGGCAGACCTCTCCTGTCTCACCTGGGGCTCCCTTCAGTAGTGCTTTCATTCCATCTGCCTTTTCTGCACCCCACTCTGTCCCTGGTGGATCCTCTCACCCTCCCGCAACTCTGGCCTGTACCCCAGCTCGTGTCTAAATAAAAAATAAATCTTTTTAAAAAAAAGTATAAACTTACCTGTGATAACATACACACAAAGAGGGCGGAAGGGACTGCTGCTATTGGATTATTTTCTGTATAACTAATCTAAAACCAGTAAATGGCAGACTTTATTGTTCTCAAAACTCAGAGTTTGAATTGATAAGGTTGTTTGCAGTGCTTCATCGTACAGTAGGTTGGTTTAGATTTCATTTTATTTTCTGTAAGTTTTTAGACAAGCATTTGTTTCCATGACAAACCTAAAATCACAACTTTGCCTAAGCAGTGCATCCCAGGACAGCCTTGTGAAAATTGTATTTTATTTGATGTTGTCATTCCCATCCTGTTCTTTATAGTTAATGAAGTAAAGTGGAATACACATTTTTCTGTTTTATTCACTTCTTTTCACATTTTTCTCAAGGGCACTCTAAAACTCCTAAGAATTGGTGTTAGAATACTGGTATTAGATCATTAGAACATAGTCTTCAAAGAATCTCAATAGACCACAAATGCTATCAAGTGCCCTTGAGTCAGTCATCACATACAAATGAATTTGAGATTAATGTACCACTACTTCCCCAATTAGTATAGGTAATCAAGAATTGATTGCAACATTGTGAGAAGAGAAATAGGACAGCTGCAAACAGTTTTTTTTTTTAGAAATTTTTACACCAGGAGAATTCTGTTCATACATTTTATGTTTATTTTTTTCTCTATAATGATTTACTTCATCACCTTCATGGCAATTTGACCTTTGCCTCCTCGACCTGCCATTGTTATTGGCCCCAAACTCTAGCAAGAAACAGGAGCAAAAGATGTACTATAGAAGAGGCAGTGAACTGTGAATTTCTTCTCTCATTTGACAGAAACCTCTCTTGGTGAGAAACTGACCTTTTTTTTTTTTTTTCCCATTAAAAACTCTATTATACTGTTTCTTAAAGAACTTTCAACGCATTTAGTTGGGTAGTTATGAGTTTGCTATACTGTAAAGTAGGATAACTAAAAATATTGATCTTTTATTACTTCGAACTTCTGATCTTTTATTACTTTTATTCCTCTAACATTCCTAAAATACTCAATATTTGACTTCTAGAGTTTGCTATGAAATAAACGATTTATATGAAACAAGGTATTGTTTTATATGAAATTATATCCTCCTACATTGAAGCTCATGGAAAATTATAGTTGTTTAAAAAGTTTGTTAATCTGGATCTTTGTAGTAGTCATCAAATGGATTTATTTGTATCCTGTTTCTCCCTATTTTATCTACCCCACAGATAACTGCCAAAATGAACCTCAGAAAGCCACTTGGATTCTGACTCTACTGTTTAGCATTAATATCTTTTAAGCTATCAAAATAAAGTGAAAATTATGAATAATTTACAAGATCTTCAGGATTTGACTCAACTGTAACTTTTGAAAGACTTTTCTCTCTATTTTAACCAAGTTTTTGTATCCTTTGTTCTGGTCCAATCATAACTCTGTGACTGATTCTGAAGTGTTTTTGTCTTGCTTCCACCTATTTCTCTCACACAAATTTGACAAAGTAAATTACAGGCTTCAAGCAAGAAATGTTAATTGTGAATCACAATAGGGTAGGTGTGGCAAATGGCTTGAGCCACACTGTTGTGAGAAGTAGGGATCCTAATTTAACAGAACTGATCTTTAGAGTTGGGGTAGCAGGAAAGCATGCAGAGTTTTGTAAACAGGGTACTCTCTGACTGGGTTTTGTAGCTTGAGTTTCAGGACTTCTAAGAAACCACAAGTACCCACCCTGGTCTCATGCTTACTCCACCCCCCACTACACCGGCAAGGGCAATCCGGTTGATTGATTAGGTTTTCAACAATAAGAAGGTAACAAACAAGGATCAGGTTAATCCTATTAACACAAGCAAGGAAGTTAACAGTGTGAAATCCATAGAAAGGGGAGTTTCCACGTTCCGTGCCCCACCTAAGAAAGGGTGGAGTTGAGCTTGGATGAGAAACTAGAAAAAAGGCAGGGAGAAGATAGAAGTTGAAAAGGTGAGCTGTAGGAGACAAGTGGAGCAAAATGACCTGTAAAGAAAATGCCTTGTTTGCTTCTCAGCCTTGGACTTGCAGCAGGGTCTTGGGGGACATGGAAGGAGACAATTGAAAGAAACAGAGACAGAGGTAAGAGACCCCTGGGGATGCTGACAATGGCAGCCTTTACCTTAACTTGTATTTTGATTTTGCTTTTTTCCTACCAGACTTTCCTGGGCCCTTCTGCCCCTTTCCTATGGGTACCTGCCAGAAGATGCCTTTAGAATTGTGGCAAACTTTCAGGCCTCAGTGGCCCTGCTTTGGGCCAACACTGCTTGTCCTGGCATTTACTCACAGAATGATGGGGTAACATTGGATGTTTAATTGGAAACTGTGTTAACTATATTCTTTCTATTCTCTCTATTGTACACTAAGTGTATCAACATTCTTTTCGATTGAAGATTCTATGCACTAGGAGTATGTTTTATGTTTTACAGTAGATGGCAGAACCCATTTAGAGCAAGAGGATTTGGGGGTCCTGGGATGTTCCCCATTCTTCCCACTAACAACAACAGGTTCTAGGGATCCAAAGATCCATAACCGTTCTTTGCTGTTTCTCAAAGATGACAGTGTACATCTGCCCATTCCATCATAGTTGCTCTCTTGCTCATAACTGAATTGTAGCAAACAATTTTTTTTCTGACTACAAGTAAGTCTTTCTTTTAAATACTTTAAATCTCAATTATTATATTTACTGTACCTCTTTGAAATTTTATGTGAAATTTTAAAATTGTATTTTAACTTTTGCAATTACATTTTTGTTCTTCCAAATGTGCACTTGTTCCATGCACCTTCTATGGACATTTTTGTCATGGCTTCCTGGCTAAACTCTGTACTCTGAGGAAATAATTCTATCAGTTTATTTTGTATCATTGCTAGAACCTATCAAAACACACTGGAAATTAAAGATGCTGAAACAATATGTGCTTAACAAAAAAGCTGAGTGCAATATGTTACTCTATTTCAATGGGTAAATGCCATTATTAATTTATTTTTTGATTTGGCAATTTTATGAGATGACCACTATGTTATAGTAAATTTTTTTTGAGTACTAATTTCCATTTCAATGTTAAATTCCATCACAGGTTTTAAATCTGGTTCTGAGATAAGATTTGATCTAGAAATCCTGAGTTTCTCACATATTTCTCTCTTGGACCTTCCTTATAAGTCTGCCATTTTATGGTATATTTCATTTTTTTAATAATAAATTTTATTTTTATATTCCCCCATACAATTGCAAACCCCCCATTCTGACCGCAATCCCTCCCCTCCCGCCCCCCACCCCCAAAAAGTGTCTCTGGTTCATAGTTTTTTGTTGATTTTGATTTTCACTTTCTTATAGTTATTCATTTTCCTGGTCCCTTATTTAAGTTTTCTAGATTCCTGCTATGAGTGAGACCATCCGGTATTTTTCTTTTTCTTTTTGGCTTATTTCGCTGAGCATGATCCCTTCCAGCGCCATCCATGTTGCTGCAAATTGCATGTGTTTATCTTTTTTGAATGCTGAGTAATATTCCATGGTATATATGTACCACATCTTCTTGATCCAGTCATCTATTTTTGGGCATTTGGGCTGTTTCCAAAGCTTAGCTATTGTAAATAGTGCTGCTATAAACATAGGGGTGTCAGGTGTTCTTTGGAATTGATGTTTCTGTGTCCTTTGCGTAAATACCTAGGAGTGGAATTGCTGGATCCTATGGAAGCTCTATGTTTAGTCGGTCCAGAAATCTCCACACAGTTCTCCATAGTGGTTGGACCAGTTTGCACTCCCACCAACAGTGTAGAAGAGTTCCTTTTTCTGCACAACCTCGCCAACATTTGCTGTTGCTAGTTTTTTTAATATGTGCCATTCTCACTGGTGTAAGATGGAATCTCATGGTAGTTTTGATTTGCATTTCCCTGATTACAAGTGATGTTGAACATTTTTTCATATGTCTGTTGGCCATTTGCATTTCCTCTTCAGAGAAGTTTCTTTTTAGCTCTTCTGCCCATTTTTTGACTGGATTATTTTCTTTGTTGTTGCTGAGTCTCATCAGCTCTTTACAGATTTTTGTGATCAGTCCTTTATCATTAGTGTTGTGTGCAAAAATGTTCTCCCAGTTGGTGGGGTTTCTCTTTGTTTTTGTTATTGTCTCTTTCGCTGTGCAGAAGCTCTTTAATTTGATGTAGTCCCAGCTGTTTATCTTTGCCTTCACTATCACTGCTTTGGGTGATGTGTCTGTAAAGATGTCTTTGATATGCAAATCACGTAGTATTTCGCCTATATTTCCTTCTATGTATTTTATGGTTTCAGGTCTTATGTCTAGTTCCTTAATCCATTTTGAGTTGATTTTTGTGTATGGTGTGAGGTAGTGGTCAAGCTTCATTCTTTTGCATGTAGAGACCCAGTTTTCCCAGCACCATTTATTTATTTATTTATTTTTTTTAATTTTTTTTTTTTTGTTGAAGTTTTTCAATTTTGCTGATCTTCAGTTTTTCCATTTGGGAATTTATATCATAGCTGATTTCTTTTTTTTTTAATTAATAAATTTTATTTTTATATTCCCCATACAATTGCAATCCCCCCATTCTGACCCCAATCCCTCCCCTCCCGCCCCCCACCCCCCAAAAAGTGTCTCTGGTTCATAGTTTTTGTTGATTTTGATTTTCACTTTCTTATAGTTATTCATTTTCCTGGTCCCTTATTTAAGTATTCTAGATTCCTGCTATGAGTGAGACCATCGGTATTTTTCTTTTTCTTTTTGGCTTATTTCACTGAGCATGATCCCTTCCAGCACCATCCATGTCCAGCACCATTTATTGAACAAACTTTCTTTGCTCCATTGCATAGTCTTTGCTCCTTTGTCAAAGATTAGTTGACCATAAATCTGTGGGTTTATTTCTGGATTTTCTATTCGATTCCATTGGTCTGTATGTATGTTCTTGTTCCAATACCATGCAGTTTTGATGATTATGGCTTTGCAGTATAGTTTGGAGTCTGGGAGTGTGATGCTTACATTTCCTTCTTTTTTTTTTTTTTTCAGTAGAGCTTTGGCTATTCAGGGTTTTTTGTGATTCCATATGAATTTCATCAATAATAGTTCTATTTCTTTGAAGAATGACATTGAAATTTTGATTGGAATAGCATTGAATCTGTATATTGCTTTTGGTAGGATGGCCATTTTAATAATGTTTACTCTTCCAATCCATGAGCAGGGGATGTCTTTTCATTTCTTTGTGTCTTCTTCTATTTCTTTTAACAGTGTTTTATAGTTTACTTTGTATAGGTCCTTTACCTCTTTTGTTAGATTTATTCCCAAATATTTGATTTTTTTTGTTTCGATAATAAAAGGGATTTTTTTTATTTCTTCTTCTTCAGATTTATTGTTTGTGTATAGGAAGGCTACTGACTTTTGCGTGTTGATTTTGTATCCTGCCACTTTACTGAATTGACTGATGAGTTGAATAAGTTTTTCTGTGGAGTTTTTGGGGTTCTCTATGTATATTATCATATCATCTGCAAAGAGTGATAGTTTGACTTCTTCTTTTCCTATTTGGATTCCTTGGATGTCTTTCTCTTGTCTTATTGCTCTGGCTAGGACTTCCAGTATTATATTGAAAAGCAGTGGTGAGAGTGGACATCCTTGTCTTGTTCCAGATCTTAATGGAATTGCTTTCAGCTTTTCACCATTGAGAATGATACTGGCTGTTGGCTTGTCATAGATGGCCTTTATGATGTTGAGGTATGTTCCTTGTATCCCAAGAATTTCAAGGGCTTTTATCATGAATGGGTGTTACACTTTGTCGAAAGCTTTCTTGGCATCTATTGATATTATCATATGGTTTTTATATTTCTTTTTGTTGATGTGTTGGATAACGTTGATTGATTTTCAGATGTTAAACCATCCTTGTGTCCCTGGAATGAATAATACTTGGTCGTGGTGAATTATCTTATGGATACATTGTTGGATTCTGATAGCTAAAATTTTGTTGAGGATTTGTGCATCAGTGTTCATTAGGGAGATTGCCTGTAGTTTTCCTTTTTTGTGTTGTCCTTATTCGGTTTTGGAATTAGTGTAATGTTGGCTTCATAGAATGTGTTTGGTATTGTCCCTTCCTTCTCAATTTTTTGGAAGAGTTTGTGAAGGATAGGCACTAATTCGTCTCTGAATGTTTGGTAGAATTCATTTGTAAATCCATCAGGTCCTGGGCTTTTGATTTTGGGGAGGTTTTTGATTACCATTTCAATTCTGCTGCTTGTAATTGGTCTGTTTAGGTGTTCTATTTCTTCTTTATCTAGCTTTGGGTGATTGTAGAGTTGTAGGAATTTGTCCATCTCCTCTAGATTGTTGAACTAGTTTCCATATAACTGTTCATAGTAGTTACTGATTATTCTTTTGATTTCTGCTGTGTCCGTTGTGATTTCTCCTCTTTCATTTATGATCCTATTTATTTGTGCTTTCTCCTTTTTTTCTTTGTGAGCCTGGCTAGGGGTTTGTCTATTTTATTTATTTTTTCAAAGAACCAGCTCTTGGTTTCATTGATCTTTTGGATTGTTTTTTTTAGTTTCAATTTCATTTATTTCTGCTTTGGTTTTTATTATTTCTTTTCTTCTATTGGTTTTGCGGTTTTTTGGTTGTTCTTTTTCTAGATCTTTGAGCTTCGAGATTAGGTTGTTTCTTTGAGTTCTTTCTTGTTTTTTGATGTGAGCTTCTATTGCTATATATTTTCCTCTTATTACTGCTTTTGCTGCATCCCATACATTTAGGATATTGGTGTCCTCCCTGTCATTCAATTCAAAGAATTTTTTAATTTCTTCTTTGAACTCCTCATTAGTCCAGTGGTCTTCCAGTAGTGTGGTTTCTAATCTCCATGAGGTAGGATAGTTCCTTGCCTTCTTTTTATGATTTATTTCTAGTTTGATGCCTTCATGGTCAGAAAAGATGGTTGGTATGATTTCAATCTTGGTGTATCTGTTGATGTTTGTCTTGTGCCCCAGTATGTGATCGATCCTGGAGAATGATCCATGTGCGCTTGAGAAAAATGTGTACTCCGTTTTTTTTGGGTTTAGTGTTCTATAGATATCTGTTAAGCCCAAATGCTCTAGGTCC